TAAACAGTACTACAGCCCAGTACCAAGGAACTGTGTGCTAGGCCAAAGAGGCTTCACTCTGTCATCTCTGTTAAACTGAAGAGATAGGGTCCTGGGGAAGAATAAAAGGCCAAAAGCCCACCTAGAAAAGAGCTCTGAAAAGTAGCCATTACCTAAAGAAATCTTGATGCTAGCAATAATGAATAAATCCTGAGATGAAAACAAATCAGAAATAATTGCACAGGTAGACAAAAAGACAATGACCATAATGAAGGAAATGATCAGTGAATCAAGGGCAAATAAAACTTTTAAAAGATAGAGGAGCTTAGGGAAACCACAAATGCCCAACATAGGAAAGAACTAGATGACGTAAAGCAGATACAAACAGATATCGAGGAGATTAAAAATTCTATTGAAAGCATATACAGAAGAATCAACCATTGTGAAGACAGACTATCAGATCTAGAAGACAGGGCTGTGGGTGGTGATCATCAAATGAAAGACTTCTTAAAAATAGCAAAGGACCGTGAGAAATCAATTCAACAGCTGCTAGATGATGCAAAGAAGACAATATAAGATTGAACCCCAATTAGCCATGATCAGAAAAAAGCCACACCAAGGCACATAATATTTAAGATTCTAGAAATTTCACCTTAAAAACAGAGCATTAAAAACTGTTAGCCAAAAGAAACAAATCACCCATAGAGGAAATCCCATAAGAATCACAACAGACTTATCAACCCAAACCATTAAATCAAGAAGAGCTTGGAATGATGTATTTCAACCTACAGAAGAAAAAAACCTCCAACCCAGATAGTTGTATCCTGAAAAACTGTTTTTCAAAGCTGATGGGCAAAAGTAAGCAAACAAACAAAAAATACACAACACTTCCCATTTGAATAAAATGATGCAAGGAAAAGATGAGATTAAGAGTATGGCCTTAGCCTCAATTTTGTTTCCATGTGGGATGAAGGGGCTCCTGCTAAGTTGAAAAGAGATACCAGGAGGCAAAAAATCAGAGATTAGCAAATTCATAGATGATCAAGAGGGATCATCTCTCAAGCCAGTAGAAGAATTATTTGCTACTTGGTATGATGATTAATTTTATATCAGCTTGTCTAAGCCATGATCTCCAGACATTTGGTCATACTTCTTTCTGAGTATATCTGTGTGTGTAGTTTTTGAATGGCATTATCATTTAAATTTGTGGACTTTGAACAATGTATATTATCCTCTTTAATGTGAAAAGGTCTCATCTAATCCACTGAAAGTCTTAAGAAAAAAACAACTGATCTTCCTAAAAAAGAAGAAAGTAAGTTAATTATATCATGAGACAGCCTTAGGATTTGAACTGAAGTTTTCCCTTAGTCCCCATCCTACTGGCCTTCACTGAGATAGCACAAGCCCCACAATCTCACAATCACATGAGCCTATTCATTAAAATAAGCCCCCCCCATGCTTTCTGTAATTTACTTAGTCAATATCAAATAGAAGCAGAGCTTCATTTGTGTATATTAAAAATCCCAGGATGATACAAATCAAAACATCTCTTATTTTGCAGATCTGTGCCTGCTGAGAAAACAGTTTTAGGAGAGATATATATACTTCCTCCTCGTTTTGTTTCTCTGGAGATCCTCATAACTAATACTCTGGATTATTATGAACATCCTCCTGGATTTAGTTAATTGGATAGGAATGGGACTTGAAGTTGTTGCTCCTCTACATTTAGGAAGAAGAGTGAGACAGTTGTTTGCTGATCTCTCGGGTGAACTGTTGCAGATGCTGGCTGAATGAGCCCACCTTCCTCCTGAGCACACAGGAAGACATTTCTGAGGCTTATATGCAAACAGACTGGGGCTGAAATCTAATCAATGGGATGGGAACAAAAATAATAATGGCCTGCTTACACAACTCCATACATGGTTTATGCATCTCTCTACAGGAAAATTTTGGACCACTTATTTAAGACAGAAGCATTATCAAAAGGGGGGAGCTGGATGCCAGGGCCACCATTTAACAGATAATGACAAAGAAGAGTGGCTTGAATGAGAGATGACTTAAGTGAAACAGGAAGTTTCTTTATGTGAAGCCACTGAGATCTGGTTGGTTGGTTAGTTGCCCCAACAGATCTTAGCTTTTCTTGACTCATTGTACTAACGTTGAAAACAGTAATTGAATGGAGCTACTGCTAATGGGAGATCCTAAAATATGAAAATGGCTCAGTTGAGGTGGGATGAAATGACGTGGGGACCTTGAACATGGAAGACAATTCTTGGGTTACGTTAGCATGACGCCTATGTTTTATATATCTAGCAAGAGTTTACCAAGCTCTTTATTTTCTTGATGAGCAAGAATTATCAGAGATCAAATGGCTAAGAGTCTTGGCTTGCAAGGCAAATTTTTCTGGAATAATATAACAGGAAAGCGGTTGTTAAAACAACCACGTAGTTTTCAGTTCTACAATGTGTATACCAAGTCAGATATTAGACTTAGGAGAAAAAAGTTAGAATATTGAAGTATTCTGTTTCTCTGGCTTACAGCAACTCCTAACATTATTTTGCATTATAGTACCCCATTCTGTTATGGTACCCTATTTTCACTCTGTAATAATTTAGATTTTGAAAGCGTTTGCTTTCTTACCCTCTTTTCTTACAAAAGTCATGATGCAGAAACTCTACCTTCTTGCTAGTTAATAATGTATCCCCACTTTGCAGTGCATATCAAATACACAAAGCACAGGCAGAATGTAATTACTAAGAAGTGAGTAAATAGAATAATTATTGATTATGTGAATATGCCACTTCCTGTGGCCTCCATCAGAGACTTTAAATGTCAGATTAACTTTGGTCTGACACTAATCTATATAAAATCTGAGAGACAACCTCCAGATGTGTGTGTGTGTGTGTGTGTGTGTGTGTGTGTACTTATACATACCTTTTCTAATTATGGCCAGACGGGCGAGTTCACCATATTACGAAAACCTTTCCCTCCTGTGTTCAAGTTACTTTTGTGATTCAGAATGGAAAGAGCCGAGGGCTGGGGATGTAGGTCAGAGATACAGCATTTGCCTAGAATATGCAAGGCATGGGTTTGATCCTCAGCACCCTGCACACAAAAAGGAAAGGAGATAGAAGAGTGGAAAAAGAGGGAAGGGATAGAGGGAGAGAGAGAGAGAAGGAGCAGAGAAAGACTAAGTTATCATTGCTTCATTATAAAACACTTGTGTTTGCATTTCTCCAATAATTGGAATGAGGACTCTAAGTACAGAACTTTCCAAGTTCTATCTGGGAATTTAGAACACTTCAGCAAGGTCCAAGAGGAGACAGAGGATTTGATCAGCTATTGTTTGCCTTTCACACTGCCAGTTCTCTTTGCCTTGTTTGCAAACTTCTTTTATTCTCACAAAATATTTTTCAGTCAGCAAAACTTCCTTACCATTTTTCTGTGGTGGAAGCTCTTGGTCAATGTAGGATTTTAGAAAGATGAGAAACAAGAATAGGGGACCAGAAGTAGAGGAGAAAACGAGGAACATTAATCATTTATCTTCCCTTTGCAGTTGAGGTCTGATTCGTGTTAGTCATGTTTTTTATTTCTTTTAATGCCTACCAGCAGATCAGCAGTTATTTTATGAATGGTCTAATTCATGCTTCTTCCAAGAAGAATAAAATCTGAACAATACAAGAAAAATAACCTAGCTTTATTCTGTCTCCAAATTCATATAAAGAAATTGTTTCTCATTATTAATTGAAATGTTATTCTTTCTCCTTGTTTCTTTCTTTCCCTCCTTCTCTCCCTCCTTTCTTCACTCCCTCCTCCCTTCCTCCTTCTTATCCCTCTCTCTCACTGTGTCTCTATTTCTCCTCCTCCCTCTCCCTTCTCCCTTTGTTTCACTTTCTTTTCTCCCTTATATCACTCTTCTCAGGCTGCCAGAACAAAACACAAAATATCACATACTGGATGGCTCAAACAAAGAAAATTCATTTTTCATTTTCTCTCAGTTCCAGAAGCCAGAATTTCATGGTTAAGGTTCTGGTGGGTTCACCTGGATGAGACCTCCTTTCCTGGCTTATGAATAGCTGCTTCCTTGCTGTGTACTTACCTGGTTGCTCTGTGTGTGAGAAAAAGCTCTCTCTCTCTCTCTCTCTCTCTCTCTCTCTCTCTCTCTCTCTCTCTCTCTCTCTCTCTGTGTGTGTGTG